AGGAGAAAGGAGTTGGAGAGGTGGATTAGTCCTGCGATGGCTTTACCTGCCCCTGTGGTTCCCTCAGGCTTAACCGTGAATGTAAATCCAACCCTTCCTGTCCTTCCAAGTTCCTTTGCATGTCTTGTACCACATCCTCTCTCTGCTGCCTCTCCTCTGCAGGGTCCTAAGCTTTTGCCGTAAGATCCTGCCCTTCTGGTGCTGGCAGAAAATCCCCAACCCTGGGCACAGCAGTGCTATCCTGAAGATGAACGGTCAGAGCACTCTTCCTGGCATGGTAAGGAGCCCTTGGATTAAAAGAAGAACAAAGGTGGCGGCAGAGGAGGAGGAGGAGGGGGTGCTTTTCGAGGTGGGAAACGTCTCTTGCTTCATGGAGGAGGCGTCCGCGCTCGCTCGGCCACTCTTTCTTTCGGCATTCTAAAATGGCCCCAGTGAGAACGCAGACCAGAAGGAGGTTCAAGACATCTAGGTGACAAACCCAGTATATTTGAAGGGACTGGTGGATTAAATGTGTTTATGAAGTGTAGCCACCCTGTCTCTTGAAGGTCCAGCAGCTGTAGTCCAGAAAGGGAACTTTTCCAAACCCAGGAGCTTGTCTGTAGATATCGTGAAAGAGTTTGCTCCCGGCACTCAGTGGCTGGTGCAGTTTGCTGTTTATCTCGGCCTCGGGTCCTCTTAGTGTGGTGTGTGTTTCTTGCAGGATACTCCAACTCAGCACTTGGGCCAGTGCCCCGAAGAAGCAGACATCGTGGAGATAAAAGAGCTTCCAGCCCCAGAGCCAAAACCATCCCCTGCCCATGTGGTGAACTCTGGCTATGAGAAGCATTTTATGCCCACCCTGGAAGACCTGCAGAAACTGGTCTGAGAAGAGGAAAGAAGTCACTGAGTTCACCCACTGGGTGACCAGTGGCAGAATGGGGAATACCTCAAGCCCATTGCCTGGGTGCTTGTCTTACGCGAACTGCGTGCAGGTCAGGATGGCTTTCTGCTGAAGGATCATATGTTGTCTCTCCCAGCATCTCCTACACCTTGATGATCCAAGAGGGAGCTGCCAGTCTCTGAGATGACAGATGTGGCCTCAAGACAGCCATTGAGCGTGTGCTGAATTTGCCAGATCTCTGGGAATGTGAGGGTCCACATTGGAGCTTCCTCAGGATTAGGGCTCTCTTGCAGAACTGGAACACCTCAACCGGAGCTCAGATGCCCTGCGTCTGACTAAGCTCATGTACGACATATATAGTATTCAGCCCATCACCTGGATACTGGAGCCAAAGGGGCAGCAGTGGGTTTTCATCCATAAGCTGAAGTTTCATCTTATCTGGCCCTGTTTCATGTTAAGTGTGTGGTCAGAACCACAGCAGCTGCTATTAGAAGCAGAGCATCTGCAACCACAGCCCCAAAGGAGGACACTTACCTTGGGAGGAGGGCTGAGAAAACCTTCCTCAAGAAGGGCTATAAAAACTGTGTGTGGCTCTTTGGGCCCTGGCTCTTGGCCCAAGAGTGGTCTTAATGGATACTTATGAGACATTAGGTTTTTAAATGAAATTTGATTTTTTTAAAAAAAGAAAGTTTTGCATTGGGTCGTGTTCTATTTGTAAGCTACAGTACTTGAACCCCTTGTTTCCTTGGGAAGTGTCACAAACATCCTTTCTAAGAACAAAGAGAGACAGCGTGGTATAGTGGGTAGAGTGAGTCTCTGGGACTCAGGATACCCAACTTTAATTCGCTGTTCAGACATGGAAACTCACTGTGGAGAAGCAGCAGTAAACCGCTCCTTGAACTAACAACTCACATAGTTTAAAAAAAAACATATTTGGGGTTGCCATAAGTTGATGGCCCATAACAACAACAGTGGGAAGGAACCTTTTTACTTGGGTTCCAGAGTCTGCTGTGGGTGTTGTCTTGGGTGGCTAATACCAGTGGGCAGGGCTAAAGATATGAGGTAAAACGGACGAGGCTAGAGGTCATTCTTACCAATCTGGACATTTTCTCCCCAGACATATAAGGATGCTCAGCATATCTACTTTGAAATAAACCCCATAAGTACAGAAGCTTCTGTGCTGGCAAAGCAGAGGTCAGCTTCATGCAATAGGCTCCAAGCCTTCAAATGGCTTCCTTGCTTCATTCACTGATTGCAGATAACATTAAGAGAAGCTTGCAACTGGATGAAGAAGTTCTGTGAAGAAGTTCTGTGGGCCAGAGGCTGCCTCAGAGCACCTTAATCTAAGTCTCCCCAGTTGGCACGTTCTTCTACTAGTGCACCTCCCCGTGAGGTACACCTAGAAGATTACCTACGCGCCTCAGACTGTCCCTGACTAGACCCCCCTTGCTCTGGGCACACCTGCCAAGGCTTTGCTGGACCGCTGGACAACTGGACCAGTCGTATCCCACACGCTGGACACCAATCAATGTGACAAACCCAGACCTACTGGGATCTATCACACAGTTACTAAGCTGCCACCAACCATTCCCTATAATAAGTCACACAGACCAGGGATGGATTTTTAAACAATAAAAGAATAAGGTTTATTTTAAATACAAACAGGGTAAATAAAACAATCGGGTGAATAAAATAAAGTAACGTGGCTTATTCTCACACACCCAAGCATACAGTTTGGTTCACCTAGAACCTTTAACTTAAAGCACAGACCCTGAACCCATCAGTTCTGGCTAACCCACAGACCCCTGAACCTTTCAGGCTGGTACTCTGACACACAGTAGTACCCTGTCAGACACCCAGACTCCCACAACAGCTTCTTCTTCCCCAGCTGCTGCTTCGTCCCAACCCAGTGTCTCACAGTCTGTCTCAGCATCTCCCTCTCACCACACACGCATCACATATTTATACAGTACAGCCCCTCCTCCTGATGTCCCGCCTTCCACTCCCCATAGGATGGAACTTTCCCTCCAAACCCATGACAGACAGGTAACATCAGTGCTGTTATGTAACACTCACCTTTCGTGTAGGCAGTAAACTTGAGACTATTGGGTGCCTACTAGAGTAGCTTTGAGGTGCTGTTGTGGCTTGTGAACCCATCTTCATGGTCACTGTGACAGATGCAGCTGTTTCCCAACATGAAGTGGTTCCCCATTTGCCACTTCTTTCTATAACTGTGTGTTAAATACTGGATCAACCTGCTTTTCCTGCCCCAAAGAGAAAAGCATCAAGATTTATTAGCCTTCCTTATTCAGGACCAGATTCATAATTTATCTCTGAATGTCCAAGGGTTGTTTTTATCCAATTTTTCAGCTGGCTAGTTTGTTCTTTTCTGTTTCTTAAAGACAGAAAGATTCCTGCTACATCTGATCAATCTCTTACATACAATATCCTGTTTCTGGGGCTGGCTAGCCCAGCTGCAAGCAGCCACACAATAACTTTCCCCTGTCCTTGCCCTCAGTCACTAGTCTGTCAAAGCAAGCAGGTGCTGATTCAAGGAGAACGCCTGGCCATCTCCTTTGCTATCTTTACAGGTGAAGGAGGCACCGTTTTCATGTTTCACAGATGGCTAATGAAAATTTGCTTAGTTAGAGCCTGAGCAAGTGAGCCTATGCAGGCCATATGTGTATTGTAGCACCAGCCCACAGGTCATAGAATGTAAATAGGTGTCGTTGGAAGGTGGTCACTGGAAGTGTCAATGTGGAAGGCAAAGTGGTATGCCAGAAAATGCAACACTTTATGAAATCACAGCTAACTAGGCTTGCAGTTGGAATAACCTGAAAAAAAACATTTCTGGAGAAGACTGTGGTGCTGAGAAAGGTAAGTCTGTATGGCAAAACAAAAGTGTGTGTTCATGATTGTGCTTTTTGAATTGTCCATCATCTGTGACACATGTCCTTCCAAGAAAAATAGCTGAAGAAGTGTGTCTACAGTCCTCCTTTCCCCACTAGGGGGCAGGACAGTTCAAGATGTTTTGGACCTACAGTATTTGTGTAATTGCTTCCCTTGCCTCTGTCAAAAGAGTTTCCCACCAACTATCCTGTTCTTGTTTCCTGTTCTTCCTCTAGCATCCTGAAATGACCTATCTCCTCTGCTTTTCTACAAAGATTTCTAACCACCTCGCACAATTACCCCCATCTTCCAGTAGGAGTGATTAGAGGAATATATTCGTGAAGGCTTTCACGGCCAGGATCTAATGGTTGTTGTGGGTTTTTCGGGCTCTTTGGCCGTGTTCTGAAGGTTGTTCTTCCCAACGTTTCACCAGTCTCTGGTCCTCTGAAGATGCCAGCCACAGAGACTAGCGAAATGTTAGGAAGAACAACCTTCAGAACACAGCCAAAGAGCCCGAAAAACCCACAACAATGATTAGAGGAAATTTGACCCAAACTTTGGAGCAATGCATGTAAGCCAGGAAGACCTGATTCTGCTCCCATCTGCCTTCCATCCGGTGTGTGAATATAAACTTCTTCCCTCCCCCTACATTCTTTATGTACAATTGGACCCTTCATTTGCCAGATGTCAAGTTGGAGAGATTGATTGGTTTGTCTGTTAATTTGGTTAGAATTGTGAAATTTACCCATTGGAAGCAGGTGGATGCATTCCAGAATCACGGAGCAGAATATTTTAAAAAAACATGCTGAATGTAACATAGTCCTATTGCTCTCTTTCCCCACCTCAGTACACTTTTTTAGAAAGCTTATATGTGGGGTGAAGGAGCTAAGAATTTGGAAATCTTTATTGATCTTTGACAAGCCACTCATAAATCTCCCAGTACATCTTGCTCTATTTTCTGCCTGTGCATGCCTTTCAAGAAAGTGAGGTATATGTGGGCTAAGCACTTTTCTGACACTCCTGGGTCTTATGCCAGTATCACTTCATCAACCCTGTTTGAAGTAGAACTTTATGCACACCTACTTACACATGAGAAACCTGTAACCTTGTTGCTCAACTAGGCCCAGGGCTGCTGATAGGTGAGGTCCATCAACTACATATCATCAACCCCCCTGTTCATCCTGGGCAGCGTAAGGGAGCATTCTATTGCTGCTCAGCCGTGAGGTCCAGAGGATTTGTGTATTTGACATCACTGTGTTGAATTTCACACCCGGCACACAATTCTGTTTTGTGGTCTTGTTTTCGTTTTTTCAAATCCTACCATAAAGTACTTCTGTAATGTCCTGACCCGGTAGCATAACGTGGGTGAGAGCAAAGGGTTGATCGCACCAGGAGCAAAAATTTTAGGGGATGCAGAGTGCCCGCCTAACCCCACCTGACCCTGGTAGAGCGGGAGACTGCCTGCGCCCCTCCGGCTTGCAAAAACGGGGGGGGGGGACAGCAACAAAAGGGGGCTCTTGAATGATTGCTGATCATTCAGTGAAGGCTTCAATATAGGGAGGGCTGTGCTCTTCCCCATGGGCAGGCAGGAGAGGCCATGGGAACATTCCTTTTTGGGACTCCATGGGGTGTGTGTAATACCCCCAAAGTAGCCTTGCCTGTCTGCAGGACAGGAGTGGCCAGGCAGAAGGGCGGATGGACTGAGTTGCTGCCTATCCTGTCATTCTCAAGGAGCAGGAGCAGAGGTCCGATGCCGTACTGTTTTTCCAGGGTGAAGGAGACTTATGCAGCCCCCCCCCAGCCTGCCTGCTGGTTCTGTTGCAGGTACAATAGGTCAGTCGGGGGCACGCCGAGGGTGGAGCCACACCACATAGGGCACCGGCTTCAGGATGAGCATGCTGGGGGCTTGGGGGGGGAGTGGTGGTCAGCTGAGGTTTCCTCTATTGGAGTTTTGTGAGTGAGAAATCTTGCCAGGGTGCCCCACCCCAGTGCTTGTGGGGCTCATTGATGGGGGCACGTCGTCATCTCCAAAGTATCCACCTTTCTCCCCAAAGCGCGGAGACTGCTGGTCTCTTTAGACACCAACTTGCGAACTTTGGCTGTGGTTAGGCCTCCTGTGGCATTAATTTCAAATCCAGAGGTGGAGCAGGAGATGAACATTTTCTTGAAGAGAAGAGATAAGGGACCTGAGGAGGATTTGAGGGGAACGGTTGGCCAATTGGGCAGGGTCACAGAGTAGGCTCCCCCTTGGAGGACCATCTATCTGGGTGGTCAGCCTTTCCTGCACTGTGTGCTCCCTAGCTTTGTAAGTGGTTCAGAAACTGCCTGCAGAACCCCAAAGCGGCTTTTCCCAACAGAGCCCCAAAGCGGCTTTTCCCAAAACTGCAACCAGAGGACTGGTGGGGGAGCTCTGGGGGGGGGCCTCTGTGCCTGTCCAGCTGCAAAAGGATGGCAACCCTTACCTGCCACTTGCCCAGGTGACTCCTCTGGCAACGACTGTGTGAGGCCTTCTCATCCTGGGCAGGTTGGAGGGGGGTGGCATTGGCAGTGCTTACAAACCCCTAGACACTGAACTTGACAGTGAGGAAGGAAGTGGTGAGAAAGAAGGAACATTCAAGTATAAAACATGAAACACGGTAAGCAAACAAAAGGTCAGCCATAAAGGGCTCAGATGTGTATACACTGATGCTCAAAGTATGGGGAACAAACAGGAAGAACTTGAAGTCCTAGTGTGTGAGGGCAGGCATGACATTGTTGCCGTTACCGAAACTTGGTGGAATGAAACCCATGATTGGAATATGCTGCTGGAAGGATATAATTTGTTCAAAAGAAACAGACCCAAGAAAAGAGGAGGAGGAGTTGCACTGTATGTAAAGAATTACTACTCCTGTAATGTAATACAGGAGACCAAGGATGAAAGCCTTCCTGAAGTTCTTTGGGTGAATATTAGGGGGAAAAACGAGTGACATAGCTGTAGGCGTGTACTACAGGCCCCCTAACCAAGCAGAGGAAACAGATGAACATTTTGCAGATCAATTATATGAGTATTTGTAGGAAACACACCACTGTTGTAATAGGGAACTTTAACTACCCAGATACCAACTTGGAAGCCAACTCTGCAGCAAGTGGGAGATCCAACAAGTTCCTGACAAGCCTGGCTGACAACTTTATCATCCAAAAGGTGGAGGAGGGAACTAGAGGGTCAGCCATACTGAATACTTACTGACAGGGAGGAAATAGCTGAGGGAGTGGAAATTGTAGGAACTTTAGGAGAAAGCGATCATGTCATATTAGAATTCACCATCATGCAGGCAAGAGTATGTACCAAGTCTGTACCAAGTCTGACTAATGATGTAGAGATTTTAAGAGAGCTGACTTTAACAAACTAAGAGATGTATTGTAATAGGAAGGATTTCATGGA